TGGTACAAAATTAGGCAGTGGTACACTCCATACATGATTATTGGGATGCAAATTTCATTGAGTTTAGTAGAGATTATTGCTAAGTAAGTGTTGATACGCCCAAAGTTGTTACCTATGCCAAGTGCTGTTCAAGAAAGGCCAGTCTACTGCAGAAACATACATGGAACAGGGCTGCAAGGGAAGGGGTGAAATATCTGCCTGCCACAGTAACGGACAGTGCCTGGCAGGGGTTGTGGTTCTTCTGGATTCCAGGTCTCAAGGATGACAAGGTTCACGGGGAAGCATTTGCATCTTGTTTTTCTAGAACCTGGTCTTTACTGAAGGGAAAAGGTGCTCTCCTTTCCTTCCCAGTTGCTCCCAGACAGCCTTGTCATGCATGCCAGATGAGGCTTGTCAGAGTGCTCTGGAGGCTGCCAGGGGAAGTGAGCTGTCTCCTTTCCTTGAGTCTTCTGCGATTGCTTTTTTTTTTTCTGCCATCTCTCCAAGGGAGGAGGAGGGAGAGAAAGAGCTTGGGCAAAGAGAGCAACAAAGGAGATAGAACCAGGAATGGAGAAATGGGCTGTTCTCCCTGCCCCATCCCTTCGGCACAGTAGAGTCAGTGTGACTGAAGGACATGACACCTTTTCTGGTAAGCCCTCGTGGCCACTCCTGTGACAGGCTGGCCACCCACCCAGCTGGGAGGAGGAAGCGGGCCTCGATGCCCCGCTGGCGCTCTAGGGCCACCACCTCAGCGGCGTCCTCGGCGAAGAGGGCGCGGAAGCCCTTGTCCCGGAAGGCCTGGGTCAGGCGCTCCACCTGTCAGCTCCTCCAGGCTCGAGCAGGCCGCCATGGCAAAGCTGCCTCCCCTCCGCTCAAGGCCGGGCTCGCCCAAGTGGTGGGTGTGTGATGTACGAGCGCGAGGGGCATGTCACACTTGTGCGCAAGCTTGACGTGCCCCTCCGCAAGCATGAACACACCCACCTGCGAGCGTGACACTCCTACCATGAGTGCGGGGGTGCCCCTGCCCCCCAACCGGTCCATGCACGGAGCCCGCATGCCCCAACCAGTCCCTGGTCCGAAAAAGGTTGGGGACTGCTGGTTTAGAGCACTTCCACAACAGCTACATATCTGTTGTGCAAAGCATTCTGATTGCTAGAAAAATTAGAAAGCAGGACATAACTACAATTTACCACTGAACTATTTACATCAAAACTCTCCAAGCACTGTAGCAAAGAGAAAGGCAACCCAGCCAAGCTACTCAAGGAACAGATTACATTTATGAAGTGTTCTTTCACCACATGCTTGAACAAGTCCTACTTTAAAGGAATATGGGAAGCTGGCAATATCAGACCTCTACACACCTACAGAATGAAAACATTTTTTAACTACTGCTATTATAAATAGTTGAATTTTTTTATCCTGTAGGTATGTAGAAGTTTGATATTGCCATTTCTGTGTGTTCTCTAATTAGAAAACCGTGGAAAGGGTTGGCATAAGTTGGAATTGTCTTGATGGCACACACATACATTATAAATAGACTTCAAGGAAACAGAAGAAAAAAGAAAGAAAAAAAAATACTCATGCTGTATTTGTCTTCCCAGCATGTGACTGTAGTGTGTCTTTTTACAAGGGCTTCTCTCCCAAATCAAAATATCTTCTCATTTTCAGAGTAACATTTCTTGCTAGATAAGCTTTAGTGGTTGTACTAATTGCCAAGGACATTTCTGTAACTGAACCACAAATAACTCACTTAAGCCCTATTTGGGTGTTACTCCATCAAGTGAACAAAGAAGTCGTTTCCCAGGGTTCTCATATATTGAGTCTGTGGATGAGTATGAGGTAAAGGTAAAGGTTCCCCTTGACATTTAGCCCAGTCGTGTCTGACTCTAGGGCGCGGTGCTCATCCCCGCCTCCCAGCCATAGAGCCAGCGTTTTTGTCTGAAGACAATCTTCCGTGGTCACATGGCCAGTGCGACTTAAACACGGAACGCTGTTACCTTCCCACCGAGGTGGTCTCTATTTATCTATTCACATTTTTATATGCTTTCGAACTGCTAGGTTTGCAGGAGCTGGGACAAGAGACGGGGGCTCACTCCATTGCGTGGATTCCATCTTACGACTGCTGGTATTTGACCTTGCAGCACAGAGACTTCTGCGGTTTAACCCGCAGCACCACCATGCCCCTAAGTATGAGCATGAACTTCTCCTCATATTCCTCTGCAGCCTCAACTCTTTTCATGTGGAGAATGCAAGCAGGCACATGCAAGCAGGCACTCACGTGTTCTCAAGATGGATACAAATTAAGTACTGGGTGAATATAGCTTATATTAAGCAATGATCCACTTACACACGTACTGAGTAGAAAAAGGTAGTAGCCCATACAAGATCTCAGTTAAGTATGACCAGTTGTTACTTGATTCTACCACTGTGACTGCATCTCACCTAGAACCCTCACCATTACATAATGCCCTAGTTGAATATTGTCAAGCAAGGAGCTACTAGGATGGAAGGCAACAAAAAGAGAAGTGTGTGTTCTAGCTCCCTGTCAAGGAGGGACTGTAGGGAATCCACCTCCCAATGTCTAGCTTTGCAGCTAGATGCCTAAACCACTGACCTATCCAGCAGTTCTTCCATCTCTCATCCTAATGTTGTATTGCCTATCGTCAAAAATCTTTAAGCTACAATGAACCAATCATTAGAATCCACATAGTTTAAATACCAAGTTTTAATGCAATCCCTTATTGTTGTCAATGTACAGTAAATAGTTTTTCTAACAAGACTGCTTTATAAATAATTATATCCCAAATAGGATTTCACTCCTAATGAACAGGTTATAATGGTAAACTAGTATTTATTCAACACACTGTATAAATTTCACATTAAGTTCAAATTAGATGCATATTTAAGGCTTCAATTTTAGGCAACATCTGATAGCTAGTGTAAAGAAAAATTACTTCAGGGTGGGGGACTGGAATGCCACTAAAAATAGTGAATTTCAGATGCCATATTGTCTGGGTTTTATGCAATTTTTAATTATGAAGGATATTTGCATGAAAAAAGAACTTTATTAATACATAATTCATTTCCCACCTGAAATTTCTAATGTCAACATGTTTGGAGAGAATAAATTGTTATATAGTACAAATTACATGGGAAGGAAGGCAAACACCTGATGTTCAAAATAGGTAACTCTGATTAAAAACACAGCAGACTGAAATATTAACATAGTAGGGCTGTGCATGAACTCATCTCCCACATTCATTGAACTTTATCCTCTAGACACTAGGTTCTTAACCTGTGATCCATGGACCCCCAAGGGACTGTGATGTCCTCACAGAGGGTCTGAGAAGGCTTGAAGAAATGTTATGATCTTTTGCAGTTAAAAGGGAGAGACAGAGAGAGAGAGAGAGAGAGAGGAGGAGGAAGGAAGGAAGGAAGGAAGGAAGGAAGGAAGGAAGGAAAAAGGAAAAAGGAAAAAGGAAAAAGGAAAAAGGAAAGGAAAGATTTTAATTTCCCTTGCTTGATTGTATGGGATTTGATTTTCTAAACTATCACCTCCTTTAAAAACAAACAAAAGTAAAAATTTAGGTGGATACTGTAAAGGTTCCCTTGACATTTTTAGTCCAGTTGTGTCCAGCTTTAGGGCCTGATGCTCATCCCGTTTTCAAGCCGTAGAGCCAGTGCTTGTCCGAAGACAGTTTCTGTTGTCACATGGCCAGCGTGACGAGGGAATGCCATTTTACCTTCCCACCGAGGTGGTACCTATTTATCTACTTGCATTTACATGCTTTAGAACTTCTAGGTTGGCAGGAGCTGGGACAAACGATGAGAGCTCACGACTGCTGGCCTTCTGACCCTGCAGCACCGGCTTCAGCGGTTTAGCCCTGACCAAGTGGCCAGGGACAGCAGTCATTTTTCACCATGCCATGCCCTTGTGAAAGGGAATACCTCATCAAGTATGACCAAGTGGCCAGCAGTCATTTTTCATCATGCCATACCCTTGTGAAAGGGAATACCTCATCAAGTAGTGATATTCCCAGCATCATACTTAAACTGTTTTTAAAATGTGAGCCAGCCCAGTTGCTAAGCATAGAGCCTGCCTTTATTTAAAGTGTGAGCAGGTGGTTTTGCACTATTGGTCATTTTCAGTTTTGAAACTGGAAAAAATAGTCTGCCATGGGCATCAAAAGGTCCCACAAGAAATGTCACAAAGTGGCTAGTTGTGCCCCCAGAGGATATGACTAGTTAATTCTGCCCCCTCAAAATCTGGGGTTAGGAAAACATAGGTAGGAAGTGGTAGTTACCACTGGAAGCTACTTGCCCCTGTTTTACAGGGAGGGCAGATCGGTTATTGTGTGACTTTGTTATATTATCAAATATTTCCTCGCCACAATTTAAATGCCCACCATCCAATTTTCATTTTTTTTTCATTCCTCCCTTGAAACCTTTGCATGTTCAGCACAGCTGAACTTTGAATTAGCCCAATATTACATGTTATATGATTTTTTAAAAAGCCTGTGACACAATACTGTGCATATTTACTCGTAAGTCATTTACAGGTCTGTGTCTTCAAAAGGTGCATTTCTTAGTATCATTTCCCCAATATTTATAAAACTGTCTACTGGCTACAATGCTCTATTTCTTCATGGAGAAAGGGACATTAATTGTGTATACCTTCTAGCACTTTGTTTGTGTTAGTAATTAATCAACTGCTTTCTATCCTAATGGAAATTTTTGAAGCTTCAAGAGCAGCACCATGGTGAAAGCACTGGCACTAGATAATTGGGCCCAGAGGTTACTCACAGCATTACTCCATATCTTCAGAAACTCCTCTTCAAACACTGCACCCTGGAAATTTCCTGGCAAATCAGTTGATCTACTATTAAATAAACAGACCACGGGCTGGAAATAGTTCATGGTGTTTGGCTGGTATTTCAGCTCAATGACTATCCAGAATGGGCACAAAATGTAATAGTTTTAAAAGTTTCTTTACTGATTTCTTCCTTATTTAAATGTCTTACCTTTAAAGAATACGAAGTTCCCATCACTGTTTTCATAAACAGCATCAATACTTGGAGGTAGTCCCCTCCAGAAGTAGGTAATCTGCATGGGGTATCCATCCATCACTCTGTTGTTTCTGACACGCCAAAACCACTGATCCTGGAAACACACAAATTCACATGGTATTACATTTGGAGGTTTCCTATTGAGAAACGTTTTGAAGGTACAAAACACTATTTGGTCTCATGGTTGGACAACAGCATATTGTAATTCTTTATTACACTGTATATTGCATATTTTAAATTAGTGCAGGCATATAGATTTAATAAAGGCAAGCTGCAGACATAGCATGCCCAAAGTCATCACAAATTTGAATGCAATCAATCCTGGTTTGTATTAATAATGATATTGAAAATTAGGGATACAAAGAATACTTGCTAAATTCCTCACTGATTTAAGCTGTCTTGAATTGCTGAGACACCTTGATGTGAAATGTTCAAGCCCTTGGGATTCACTGTCACTGGCCATGCTTTGGTTCTCATATTTTGAACCAAATATATAGAAAAATGTGGCTCCCTAATTATATATCTCCAGCCTACAATGCAGAGAAATGACATAGCAATGTAAAATAATATACAGTGGTGCCCTGCACCACGACGATAATCTGTTCCCCTGAAATCGCTGTTAAGCGAAAACATCGTCCAGTGAAAACAGTTTCCCCACTGGAGTGCATTGAAACCCATTTAATGCGTCCCAATGGGGAAATTACCTCATTGTCCAGCGAAGATCGCCCATTGGGGAAGCCATTTTCTGAGTGCCGATCAGCTGTTAAAATGAGTCCAGAAAACACAGGGCAGCCATTTTGCGGAGCCGGAAAACATTGTCATCTTGCGAACAAATGGTTCGCAAAGCACGGACCTAATCGTCGTCAAATGAAAATCCCCCATAGGAAACATCGTTTTGCGATCGCTATAGCAATCACAGAAAAGTCACCGTCCTGCAGATTCATCATACAGTGGGGTCATCGTCTAGCAAGGTACCACTGTATGGGTATTTTGATATACATCATGTTCCAGAAAGAAAATTAATCAAAAAGTGAAGATTTATGGCACCTTTAAGACTAATTTTAGTTTGAGCTTTTATCGACTACAATCCACTATACCCAATATAGAAGTAGTGGATTATAACCCATGAATGCTCATGCTATAATAAATGCATTAGTCTTAAAAGTGTCTCAAGACTCTGAAGTGTTTGTATATTTGGCTTTTTCTGTACAAGCTGAAACCAACCCAGCTAACTCTTGGAAAAGGACTTTTCAAATTGACTTGCATTTTATCTCAAATGAGTCAACTTGTCTCTTGTGATTTAGAGCATTTAAATATCTTGAGTTGTGTTAGTAAACTGACACTATGATCTCAACTGAGATCTGACTGGAAAGGTGGTATATCAGATTATTTTCCAAAATTTGCTGTAGTAAATTCCACACTGGATTCTGTCATGTCGATCTTGCATAATGGGTGGTTATGATAATCCACAGCACACATACACACTGAAAAAGCAGTTTCCCTTGGATGTTTTAATTTAAAGAAATATAGCAATACTTCTAAAAGCTGCTCTCTTAGATGCTTCTATATGACAGAATGATTAATCTTTTTATTGCCTGTTGAAATCAGTCGTAACTACAATAAATAAAACCCAAAACACAATTTGAAAGTGAAACTTTTTATATTTCTTTGATAGCCCAATTTTCTATCAGAAAATTAGACAGACAGCCTAATATAGTGTGTGTGTGGGGGGGGTGGAGTCGAGTGCAGCTGTCCACAGTGGAGGTACAAAACCCCTCTGTGGAATTTCATTATTCTCACTGAAAATGCTTTCTCTTTCCTTAAGAAAAAGTGAAAAGAATCCACATTTTGGTTAGGTGATGTCTGCTGACCGATAGAATTTTTATTCTTCCCAAGTGGAAACAAAAGAGTCAGCACAGTTCTCGTTATTCACAAACAAATGTCACAGTGCTTTTTCGGGGTTTCTTTGCCTGTTGAAAAGTCACCTTTGCATATTCATGAAGAAATACCAACAATCAAGTAGTTCATCTTTGTAAGATTAAAAGAGCAAGAGAGAAAGAGAGGAGGCTGTTTCCAAGATTTACAACAGTATCTTAAATCCAGCTAAATGTCTTCCACCTAAAACTAGGAAGACATTTCTTTTATATGGCTATTCTCTCCTTTGGTTTATTGCCATTTATCTTAGGTCTCCTTCTTTACTAAGTTACAGCAGCAGATTTAAAAAAGCACTTGACTTTGACAAAATATGCCAGGCCCTATTTAAGACAAAATCATTATATACTGTACTGTGTTTCATTCTTCTGCAAATTACTGCATTGTCTGATATCATTTTCAGAGACAACACAGGAACTTGCTTTATAATACAACAGGTCATTGCTGAATATGGTTCAGTGTATTTCTGCACAAGAGATATAGGATACATTTGTGCAGTTCACATCTTAATATGACCCACATTACTAATAATGACACTACCCAAACTATTATTTTTCAGCTTGTATCCTTTGAATTTTGCGATTTATATGAGATTCTCTTATATGTGTGCATATTAGGGAAAACTGAACTGCTGGATAGCTCAGTGGTTTTAAGTATCTGGCTGCGGAGCCAGAGATTGGGACTTTGATTCCCCACTGTGCCTCATTGACAGGGCAGGACTCGATGATCCATAGGTTCACTTCCAGCTCTGCAGTTCTAAAATGATGATGAACGGCACACAAAAATGTATAGAGTGGAAAAATTGACAGCGATAATTTTCAGACCTCAAAGGTTTCCCAGTCCCCTGTTAAAGGCTTTGTAAAGCTTTTCAGGTTGAAAGGGATTCTCAGGGAGACTCAGAATGTCTCTCTCTCTCTCTCTCTCTCTCTCTCTCTCTCTCTCTCTCTCTCTCTCTCTCTCTCTGTGTGTGTGTGTGTGTGTGTGTGTGTGTGTGTGTGTGTGTGTGAGAGAGAGAGAGAGAGAGAGAGAGAGAGAGAGAGACTGACAGCGAGAAAGAGAGAGAATAGGAGACTTTTAACTAAAGATTAAAATCTGTGGCTGAGGCCATCAGCCTTACACATTCATAGCTAGGTGAAGAGGATTCCAGTCATTTTACGTATCTTGCATACCTAAGATATTTGTAAAAAGATGCAAATTTGTAAAGAGATGCAAACTGAGCAAAGGACTTCAGTTTTCAATGAAAGGCCAGTATCTCTGGTAAGAAGGCAGCAACACAGGCCAACTGCACTTCTGGACTATAGAAATATTTCAGATTACAGATAATTAGCATCAGGATTATAATCAGAATTTCTCATCCAGCTTGATGGATCTATATCTAGGTATGCCTCTGTATTGAAGGGAAAGGTAGTCAATTATAACTGTGTTATACACAGTTCTTCATGGGCTTCTCCTAATGTATCCCTTTTTGTACATGTACTGTATCTCTGAGGTATGCATTTAATGCAATGTATTCAGGAGGAACACATACAAAAATATGTATGAATTTGCACTTCAGAATTCAATAAGTGAAATAGACAGATTAATTCATTTTCAGCCATAACTCTTCAGATTTTCAGACAGGTCCTTCTAAAATGCAAGAAATGTAAACTTCTCTAGTGATACGATGAAGTGAACCTCAGCCTTCTGGATACAGAGTATGCACTCTCCCACTGAGCTCCCTTCCTAAAGATACTCAGCATTTTTATCTCCAACACCTAGGAGCTCTAGAAGAAGAGTGATAATAAGTTTTGCAAGTTCTTCAAACGTTAAGCCATTTATAAAATTTTCGGGAAATGGATTTTAGAGCATCTATGGTGGGAAACGAGAAGAATGCACAGGATTCACAAGCTACAGACAACATTTTGTGAGTAGAGCTCAATTTATAGTGAAATATCCAGTTATGTGAGGAATTTCCTCTTCAAAGAATGATCTTGTCAGCCAAGTATATAAAACCCCAGCAATCTCCCTTCCACTGATGCCTAAAGAACAATCATATTACATTTCTACATAGCACAGCTAATTGACTACCTTTCCCTTCAATACAGAGGCATACCTAGATATAGATTCATCAAGCTGGATGAGAAATTCTGATTATAATCCTGATGCTAATTATCTGTAATCTGAAATATTTCTATAGTCCAGAAGTACAGTTGGCATGTGTTGCTGCCTTCTTACCAGAGATGCTGGCCTTTCATCGAAAACTGAGGTCCTGTGCTGAGTTTGAACTCTCCTCTTCTGTTAGGTAAAATGAAACTTAACTTACTCTCATTCTGACATAATGACATCTGATTTGGGTCAGGGATGGAAAATGGCATATAGTCATGACAACAGGCCATGGTGTGCTACACATTATCAAGGAGAAGGGGAAAGCCCCATTAGATAAGCTCCTTTTTCATCTCTTGTAACAGAACATTGGGGGATATGAAAGGAGCCTCCCTGAAGAATGTGAGGACTGTGAAAGCACTTGAGTATCTCCTGGGCAATGGCAGCACCCTGTCAGCTGATCCTTTCCTTATGGAAACATCACTGGATTGTTTCTAACTCTAATGAAGGAGAAGATCACAAACTTATGTTCTTAAATGTGGCTTATTAGTGACAGAAGCAGTGAAAAGGCTTCACAAGCTACAGACAACATTTTGTGAGTAGAGCTCAATTTATAGTGAAATATCCAGTTATGTGAGGAATTTCCTCTTCAAAGAATGATCTTGTCAGCCAAGTATATAAAACCCCAGCAATCTCCCTTCCACTGATGCCTAAAGAACAATCATATTACATTTCTACATAGCACAGCTAATTGACTACCTTTCCCTTCAATACAGAGGCATACCTAGATATAGATCCATCAAGCTGGATGAGAAATTCTGATTATAATCCTGATGCTAATTATCTGTAATCTGAAATATTTCTATAGTCCAGAAGTACAGTTGGCATGTGTTGCTGCCTTCTTACCAGAGATGCTGGCCTTTCATCGAAAACTGAGGTCCTGTGCTGAGTTTGAACTCTCCTCTTCTGTTAGGTAAAATGAAACTTAACTTACTCTCATTCTGACATAATGACATCTGATTTGGGTCAGGGATGGAAAATGGCATATAGTCATGACAACAGGCCATGGTGTGCTACACA